AAGATCCAAATGTTTGGGTATGCAAGCACTGTATTTAAGGACAATTCCGCCCTTTGGAGTACGAAAGTCGGTGTGATAGGCTCTAGTAGCTATACTCCCAAAATACAATATGCATTCTTCTTTATCCCGCACAGAATAATAGAAGTAACAGGAATAACGTTCTGTGTATAATCCAGCAGAAAAAGGAAAGATACGTAACGAGAAACAAGAATATTCTAGTTTTGATACATCAATATCACTTTTCAATTATGTTCGGAAGAAAAATTTATTAGTAAAAGACCAAAAAAAAGAGCCATTCTCCATAATCAATTCTTGCATTTAATTGAAAACGTTATAAATCTGTTGCAAATTGATAGAACCATTACAAAACTGTTACTAAACCATTATAAAACGTTACAAAACCGTTATAGATTAATGGCGAACAAAAATCGTTACAAATTGTTGATGGTAAAAAACCGTTTACAAAATTGATGGCTTTTAATATTTCAAAACTTATTGAAATATCCAACACTTATTTACCCTACTTTATATATGTTTTAATTTCAATATTAGGAGCTCGAAGTAAAAGCTACTTATGGGTAAAAAAAACCTTTCGCAACAACTAATAAACATGTCCTTGGGAAAAGTATCAAAAAAGTCATAAACCTATTGCATTAGTTATAAACCCTTTTTGGTGCTAATTTAGTCATAAATCTTTCAATATAGTGTCAAATTCAGTCATTCCAGCTAATTTTGCCGGATATTGCTGACATGGACGTCAGGCAACCTACGTCGTACTGCCGGCACTGACGTAGACAATTTCTAATAATTTTTTTTATTTTCTAATAATTTTTTATTTTTTTCTTTGTTTCTTTCTTCTTCCTTTTGTCAGTGATTGGCCACCAACGGCCAGGCGGGTTGGCCTCACCTTGGCAATGGTTGCCATCGCCCGCCACAAGCAAGGGCTCCCCTCGCCAGAGTTGGCAAGGTTGGCCCTCACCCAAGCCACGGCAGCCTCGTCGGGGTCACCTTAGTGTGAGCAACGCTCGGCAAGGCTAGCCTAGCCTGGGTGAGGGTCGGCCTCGCCAAATTTTGTGAGGGGAGCCCTCGCCTAGACAAGAGAGGTGCATGGGATGCCTTGCGAGGCCATGCTCGTCGAAGCTCGCCCTTGCCCAACCGAGCCTCACTTGTGGTGGTCAATGGTCCCCCTCGCTCAAGCGAGCTAGCCCACTCGACCATCGCCTGTGGCCTGTGGCTGATCACTAGCAAAAGGTAGAAGAAAGAAAAAAAAATCAAAAAATTATTTTAAAAATAAAAAAAATATTAAAATATTATTAAAAATTGTTCACGTTAGCGCCGACAGCGCCACATAGGCCAGCCGATGTCCACGTTAGCAATATCCGGCGAAAATTAGCTAGAATGATTGAATTTGCACTATATCTAAAGTTTAGTACTAAATTAGCATCAATGCAATAGATTTATAACTTTTCTAACACTTTTCCCATGTCCTTAATAATTACTTCTCTATTCTTTTATTTCTTTTTGGCCAAAATCCTTTCTTAGTAAACTTGCCGTGGGCATCATGAAATGGAGGAATACAACGTTCAGCAACCAAATTGACAATCAATAAAATTTGTGAAAGCAGACAAATAGAGTCCACTTCCTTCACATGGGCTGACTCAACGCCCATCCATGACCTTTTCCACACACAAAAGAGGAATTTAATGATGGAGAGAACAGGCCCCACGTCGTAGTTTTCAAAGAGTTTCATTGACAAAATGAACGAACCCTTTGGGTTGGACAATTCTTCCACGGCCAACATGTGATGTGTGCTAACTGGCCTACACTACACGGTTGCTCTTTTTGAATAATCATAGAAGCTTAAGACTTACTAGAGAGGACAGCCCCCACAATAAGGACAAGAACACAAGACCTTGACGAGTCAGAAATACAACGTGGTCAGCTTGGAATGTCGAATCTCTGTGTTCTTGACACGATTTGGCGTTTGATTGTATCATTTGAGACTGATCCCATTTCTTTTCTCTGTAAGTTGTCCATCATCTGTTGGCATTCTTGCTTAATTGGTGTGGCCAATTGTATAGGGAATATCACTGTGTGCATGTGGTGGGATAGCCGGATCTAATCACGAAATGGGAAGCACATAGGAATGAACCCTTTTTCCGTGAGATCCAGAGGGAGTCACATTTTACTTTTACTTGTGATTTTCTGGTGTCTAACAGAAAGAATTTAAGTTATGATCCCCTTGCAATTACCCGTTTTGAGTCCTATTGGATCCGTGTATATGTCTTGTAGCTTGTTAGAAAGCGATTTCACACGCACATCAACCGTTGAGACCCACGTGCGCATCTCACGCCTGCGCTTCGACTCCCCAGATAGTTCATTCAGTCCTGGCAAGTGGAGGGTTCAAAGGAACTTGGATTTGTCCGCCCATAGATACGGCTCAAACAAAACACTCCCCTCGGGGTCCAGCGACAATAGGTCTGACTGATTTTTCTTTCATCTACGCATGAGATATTTCACTTGCTACGATGATTTGGCTAATATTTCATTTCTTAGACATTTTTTTTTGTATCAAAGAATGTGCAACGATGAGTCGGTTATTAGTATTTCGTGATCTATGGCACAACGAAATTATCGTATCGCTTGATTTGTGCCTAAGCTCTTAACTTATGCATCCCAAAATATTTCAACTGCCTAAAAATACAGTGCTGTATAGATTTAGAGATTGATTCACATAATTCCTTTAGTGTTTATAATGTAAAAACCAACTCACGGTTTGTCACAATCCGTGACCCCTAATACTATTACTCTGGGGACTTCTCAATTGTGTATGTGAGTTCCAAGATTCTGCACGATCCTAATTTATGGCAAGAGATGATGACAAGGGAATTAGGTGTGGTCAAAGAGTGCATGCTACCTCAGCTCTTGAACATTTCCAATGCACCGCTAGGAAAAATGTTAGGTGAGGCATGAGGACAAAATTCCTGGCCAACCCTCTGATTTTCTTCCAATACCACGAGAGTCAGGACCACAACTTGAACAGTCGAGCTTGTGAAGATCATGAGCTTTCAATAGTTGGCAAAGCTTTCAATAGTTGGCAAAGCTGCCAATGCCATGATGCATCCTTATCATCTGTTAGATGATGATCGTCATGTTTGACAATTCATGCTATTCTGACAATGGAATTGGAATAATCTAACCGAGGCGAAAAGACTTTATTTTAGACGATAGTCATGACATCACAAACGTGGTAGATGGAGTAGATGGGGAAATTATCCGATCGGTCCTAAATATATTGTACAGTGCTAATTCAATCCTGCACTTTTTAATTCTTTATGTGAAATTCCTCATATAGTCCTTCCGGCCAATTATCGCCGGGAATCACTGATGTGGCGGTATGTTGCATAGGACGGCTAGCGATGGTTGAACCGCCACGTCAGCGATTTACGGCAAAAGTTGGCAGGAAAAATTACATTGAAATTTTATGCAAAGATGTATGACGAAATTGGCAACATTGAAATGTTTATGACTAAATTAGCATTCATACAATAAGTTCAAGACTGATTGAATAATTTTTCTTAGAGTTAATCTAATCTCAATTGCGGAAAACAAATATAAGAAATCCATAGTATTTCGAATGACCTCACATTGGAGTATAATTGATGTGGACAACTACAATATAATATTCTCTCAAGCATATAATTGATGTCAATTCAGGAGCACAAGGAGACCCGACTAATAATAACTTGTGGGTAATATATGTGTGTGTGTGTGTGTGTGTGTGTGTGTGTGTGAACACTAGGTAATACTCTGTCAAGGAACAGAACAAAAACCTCTTGTGGGTTCCTGAAAACCTTGCTGCTCTAACCATATTATAAAAAATAGGGGTGTCCAAGCTCCCAATTTCCCATAAAGATGTCAAAAACGCAGACACGTTGGCAAACCGTGTGATGACTTCAATTCACACGCGGCTTACGAACTTCAAGCACAGATCTGACGATAGGGGAAGAGGAATTCGGAGTGCTATCATATCATACAACATGCACATTCATTGCATTGCCAAAGTTCGTGAGTTTATGAATCAAGAAGGTTGACCAAATTGATGGGTATCCGTTATCGACTAACATATCATTTACCAACCCATAATGCTCCGTAATTCATATTGACCGATCACATTTCAAGAATCGATTATGCTAGTCCCATTTAAAAAAGAAAAAAAAAACTGTTATAAAGTCCAACCTAAAGAGAGACCACATATATATAAAAAGCATGTAGAACCCATTATTGAGATATGTGAGACAATACTTTCAACACCCCATCTCACGTGCAAGCCGAATTACAAGCGGCCCGTGGAATTTAACTAATGCGGGGTGGAGGCACATTCGCGAAAGACGTAGCACTGGTTCTGATACCATGTTAGAAAATTCAATATAAATCTTTTAGGTTAGACTTTTTAACAAAAACCAAACTAGCATGCCCTATTGAGTATAGACTATAATCGATTTTTGATCGCTACGAGTTTGGAGTCTCTTCCATGAATTCGAAATTTTTTGCTTGTACCGCAGTCGCTCCGGTACAAATGAAGCCACCTAATTCCTACCCCGTGGGAAACCAAAACCCCATCAGTTTGAGTTATACATCTCTCCCATGATGGGAAGTGTATTCATAATATGATGCATTTACTCAACAAATCTGACATTACTTGATTTGGCAAACTTCAGATTAGATCGAGTTCTTGGTGGTAGAGGAGCCAGCTTGGCGAGCCCACATGGTGTCCCCTCTCCACTAGAAGTGGAGAAGATGCCCACCATCCCCCTCCTCCTCCCTCACATGATTCTGCAAAACCACCTCCAATTATTCTCGGATCTCGTCTCCCTCTCCCTCTCTCTCTCTCTCTCTCTCTCTCTCTCTCTCTCTCTCTCTCTCTCTCTCTCTCTCTCTCTCTCTCTCTCTACCCCCTCGTGCGTCTTCTCTCAGTCTCCCCCCTCTCTCTTTCTCTCTCTACACACAGCCATGCAAACCCTACGTGTGAGTTGTCCTCCCCTTTTAAAGCATCAAACCACCCCCACTCTCTTCCTCACAAACTTCAAACTCTCTCTCTCTCTCTCTCTCTCTCTCTCTCTCTCTCTCTCTCTCTCTCTCTCTCTCTCTCTCTCTGTGTCATCTTCTTCAAAAGAGCATCGCCAGAGCCCCCCAAGAAACGAGAAAGAAAGTGAAAACATGGTGGGTGTGTTCCGTCGCTCCCTCTCCTTCCCAAACAAGAACCCGGCCCGCCCCAAACCGCCCATGACCCACCACACCCGATCCGTCAGCCTCCCCACCCGGTCCCACCCCTTGCTCTCCAACCTCCGCGACCAGCTCTCCGACCTCGACGCCTGGTCTTCTTCTTCGACAGCTCGCTCCTCTGCTCGGCTCGCCGAAGGCTTGAGCTGCCTCCGAAACGCCCTTGACTCTCTCGACGACGCCCTCCGCCTCCCCCAAGCCCAGAACCTCCTCTGCGGGCGCCCGCAGCTCGCCGAGAAGCTCCTCGAGGACTTTCTCCGCTTTGCCGATGCTTACGGGATCTTCCAGTCAGCAGTCCTCGCCTTCAAGGAAGCGCAGACGGCGGTTCAGGTGGCCATAAGGAAGAGAGATGAGTCAAAGATCGCTTCCTACGTGAAGACCCGGAAGAGGATCCACAAGGAAATGCGAGACCTCACTTCTGCCATCAGATGCGTGGCGAAATGCGATATTCTTCGTGAGCCAGATCATTCCCCAGCCCCTGATGCTGAGCTTGCGGCCGCAATATCAGGCGTCGTCAAGGCAACGACCTCAGTGTCACTGGTGCTTTTCGGCGGTTTCGCGTTGTCATTTGCGGCAAGGAGGTCGGCGTGGAGCGGCCGGTTGAGGCTGTCGAAGAAAGCAAAGGTCGACGAGTGGATCGAGGAGCTCCAGTGCACGGAAGAGAGGTTGTGGAGTTTGAGGAAGATGAAGGATGCGGAAGTGAGGGAGATTTTGAAGAAGATGGAGGATGTGGAAGGTTGCGTTGAGTGTATAGAGAGTGGGAGTGAGAGAGTGTTCAGGAGTTTGATCAGCGCCAGGGTTTCATTGCTCAACGCTCTCACACCGTAAACATTGAAGTAATTTTGTTTTCATTTGTAGCTTTTGATTTTGAGTATATCAGATTCAACAAGATCAGCTTGAGTAAATGTAGTCATGTACAAATCCAGATGTGTAATCAGACATGGGAATGAAATATTGTATAGTGGTGAATCTTGGGAAGTTTGATGTATAGTATAATTCAGCAATTTTGCTCCCTATATGTGTTCCTGTTAAATATGTCTTGAATTTTATGTACTCGGTCCGGTTCATCACCCGACCCGACATATTTTTGTGCGACCCGAAAGTGGAGAAAAAATTGAGATTTAGTTCGCGACGTGGAGGGTTGGGCCGATAGGCCCAACTCGCAGCAAGCGAACGAATTTCTATGGCAGTCCGCTCGAGCTGGAGAAAGCGAACAAATGTCTCGGGGGGTTTGGGGGCGTAGCCCCCGAGGAAATTTTTTGGGGAGCACTATTTATACCACGGCTAGGTTTTCTCATTGATTGACAGAGAGAATTTTGTTTTCGGAGAGTTTTGTGAACCGTGAGCTTTTGTCGTTTTTCCGACTTCTAAAAACTGTACTCTCTTTGATTATAGTGGAATCTTGTCTTGCCTTGCCCGTGGACGTAGATCACCTTGTGATCGAACCACGTAAATTCCTGTGTTCTGTATTTGTTTTTCGTGTCTGTTCCTAACAGTTCCTATGATTATGCTGCAATTTCTCTAAGGAAGCTGAACGAAGAAACTAATCTAAAGCGTGAAACGTGTGGTCAGGATCCAGGATTGGTAACGGTGAACGTGCTGGGTCGATGTGGGGGAATGTGTCATTGAGATCGGCTGGGGAGGTGAACCAGTTAAGATGCACTAAAACTGACCCGAACGCCACAATACCGCTTTATCCAAAAAGAATGTGTTCAGATTTTCTAAATTCAATGCAAGCATGAGCTACATTCGATTATCTATAGATGAATATGAAAGCATGGAGATAAGAGATTGAAGAAGAGAGTGTGAAAATGTGTTTCGGTCTTTTGATGTACAATGCAAGCAATGTCTCGAGTCTTTTCACTAAAAAAAAAATTTCAAAGAAATTCGATGGTCTAGAACTATCGGAGTCAGGCTTCTTACAAGATTATCATTTTCGGATGGCAGTAAATAAAAAATTATTACAAGCTTGTAGTATATATACTAAATTGAATTTAGACCATAATGAAATTGTTGGGTTTAATCATACCAGTCTAGATTCAATTTAGTATATTGTACTACATTTTTTTCCAAACAAATGCCTCGTTAAATACGGGCTACTCATCAGATATCTAGCCGTGCATCATTAAATGTTTGAAATTTGCCCCAGCTACAGGTTGCTCCAAGGACTTATGAGTTCGCAGCAGGTCTTTGATGTTCGGGCTTGAGACATCCGAGTTTATTGATGGTAGGCATGTAGTGAGAAAATTGTCCAAAAAAACCTTAGCTTATTATGCGGCAGCCAATTCAGTCCTAAACATTTCAATTATGCCAATTTACCTAAGTATTTTGATGATTTGCTAATATAGTCCTTCCGGCTAATTTTAGGCAAAAATCGCTGATGTTGTCGCCAGTTAACTTCCGTGACATGGCCAGTGCTAACGTGGATAATTTTTGTAATCTTTTGTAAATCTTAATTTTTCTTTTTTTTTCCTTTTCATTTATTTTCTTTCCTTTTTCCTTTTTCATTTTTCCTATTTTGCTCTGCCATCAATGACCGAGGAGGTCATTGGCCACAAGTGAGGGTGTCGTGACCCTCGCCTAGGCTCTCACTGGCCTCGCGAGCCCTCGCTCAAAGCTTAAACTGTTAGATGAATGCGTGATTTATTATTTAAATATTCTAACAGGCCCTTAACAATAGAAAAAAAATAAAATAAAAGAAGAGAACAAAACATTAACAAATAAAAATAAAAAAATTTATTTATACTAGTGCCGGCATGCCACATTAAATGGCCACCATCCATGTCACCAGAATTTGGTCAAAGTTGGCCATAAGGGCTATATTGGTAAATTGTTAAAAAAATTCAAGACTAAATTGGCACAATTGAAAGATAAAGAATGTGATCGCCGTACAATAGGCTTAGGATTTTTTGGATGAATATCCGCATGTGACTCACAATTACTCTTGGAAAAAAAAAAGAAAGAAATTGAACTTTAATCAAATACTTCTTCTCTTTCATTATTGCTCAACAGCCTCACACTTATCAACAATGTTAATTGGGTCATTTTGAAATGACCAACTTTTTTAAAACTTATCCAAGTTTATTAAAACTTTTTAAACGATTTATTTTTACAACAAGAGGGCGCATCTTAGGTAATTCCAAGCCGATCAAAAGTGCATTGGTAAGTGGCGCAAAAAGTTAGTATTCTAAATTTGTTGGTAGCTTCATTGGAGAAAAAAATTGGTTAGCAACTCAAATTTCAAATAAAAATTTTGCTAAGTTATTTCAAATGTTGGTACAATTTGATTTAATTAATGTTGATAAGTGGCTCAGATAAGGATCGCAACCTAAAATTAGTTGGTAATTTCATCATATAAGAAATTAGTAAGTCACTCAAATAAAGTTAGAAATTTGGTACAAGAGTCAATAACTTCGATGGAAGTTATTAGTAAAAGAAAGTGATTGGTTATCAACCAAGTAAATGTCATAAATGGCTTAAATAAGAGTTGGTAATCTATAATTAGCTAATAACTAGTTTGCAACTCACTCACATTAGAGTAGGTAATTTTTATGTAAAAGTGGTAACTTTAACACGTCAACAACCTGCACGAATAAAAATTAGTAATTAATTGGAATATCTCTATAAACAAATCGAAGTTAGTAATTTAAAAATCGATAACTTGCTAACAATGTACCGTACGGAAATTTTTTCCGGTCCTTTTTCAAATGCAAATATAAGATCTACCATCAACAAATCTGCCTTCACGTTCCAAGCTTAGACCAAATTCATTGTATACGTTATTGATTAAACATTATTGATCAACGAATTATCCGGTCTTATTCTTGTGGTTAGTGATAAGCAAATGATTAGAAAGATAGAAACCCAATTATTGGAAAGAGGTGACAGTCATAATAGACAGATGTGAGGCTTGCACGTTGATGTGTATAAAACACATGCATTTGGATAACGATCCCATGATTGTGATTACAATGAATCATGTGGAAAAGGAGTAAGCAATCAGAAAGAGAACATTGTAGTTGAAGACAATGATCTCTCCTCTCTGGATGATTAATCATGAGAATCGCGAAAAATTCATATGATTTGTCTCCAAGTTGCCTCCTTACGTGGTCTCTCTCCACCCAGCATTTTCGACGGGATCTTAGCTCATTCTTGGCATGCTTTGCTTCTGCACATGCATGTATCCCAATTTAGCAGAAAAGAGAGAAACTTTTGGTTTGTCAAAAAGGAAAAAGATGAGATGTACTGGAAATCAGCACCCCGCTACGGCCATTGAAGCTCAGAATTCCCGTCTGCAGGAGTTCTATAGAAAATGATCTCAGCGCTCTTTAGAGCAAAAATTGCTCTTAAGCTGAAAGTGAACTCAGCTGCACTTTTACGGCTTTATTGAAGATGGCATAATCAACTTTGAATGCTGTCTTTAGGCTGTTCTAGTTGTTTTTCGGGTGCTGCATTGGCTTGGGCCTCTCTGGTGTACTCTTGGCTTAGCAGATGGTTTTCTGATGTTCTCTGCGGCTTTTAAGGCTTGTAATGTTGTTGAGATCATCAGTGGACCCTTCAGAACTTGAATGAATCCAGAATGCCTTTTGGAGACTTGCCTTGGTTGACTTTCTTTGCCGTCACTTGCTGGCTCTTATGGCAATGGAGGGAAATAACGTTTGTCTCCAGATGATTTTCAAATGCCAAGTTTCCCAATTCATGTGATTACATTCTTGCTGCAAATGAGACGTCTCGCGGACGATCTCTCTCGTCAAGGAAAGGGGATAGCTTCTGTGGGTTGGTCGTCCAAATACTGACGTACGGCCGATAAAGATAACCTGGGAATAGCTTCAGCTGGAGGAATTCTTCAGAGATGAGTCTGGTAACTGGCTTGTTCGCACAGCCTGTAGATTGCTGCTCCTCAACTTCGAGCCGTGTATTTTGGTCTCAATCTTGCAAGAACCCTGGATTACAAGAGAACACTTTTGGAAGTAGATTCAGAGTCATTGGTTAAGCAAAATCCAACTCATTCAAGATAGGGAAACAACTGAGAAAATGATACTAAAAGTGCTATAAGTTTCGTACAACATTTACTTTAATGCCAAAACTTTTCGAGCGATACTTCGATATCATGTTGGAGGAAAAACGATCACTTAAATTCCTCCAGCAACAAATTCCGGCAAAAATGGGAATGCCTATGTGGCTTTTTTATTTAAAAAAAAATAAGTCCAACAAGGATGATGAGTGGCCCTTTATGACAAAACAATGCCGCATCTTCAAAACTCAAAGTCCCTGTGTTGCTAAAGGGTCATGGTGGATTAGGGCTTGAAGAAGTTCAATTGCAAATTCTAGGGCCAGCAATGGAAATTTCTGAAACCCAGAAACTCCACGAAAAGGTTGAAACAATTGACTAAAGATGTAGTTTTTATTGAATAAAGCATAATGTGAAGTCAATTGAGTAAGGATTTAGTCTTTATTGAATGTCTCTCCCTCTCTCTTGAAAATTCTAGAATATTTACATGGTATCATAGCCATCAGGAGAGAATGATCCAAATCAAAATGGTAGCTTTTTCTTTCTTCTTGCCGTTAGTCTCAATCATTGTCTCTATGGCAACCATCAGACGCTATGTTCCCTTCCCATGGCCGGCGACACCAACATCTTCATCTCTGTCAAGGTGTCAAGCTTCATTCCAATCTCTGCTCATCGTCAGAAGAGTCGCGCCTCACCAACATCAGTCATTTCATTTTTAGTAACTTCCCGATTTGCCAACACTCAACAATGCCTACCATGGACGTTATTTGTTGGGAGACTCTCTTTTAATTACAAGCATTATTGATGAGCAAAGTCGTTGTCAAGTACCCAGGCAGCTGTGAGCATCATAGTCGCGCACACTTTCATCGAATAGCCAAAGTTGAGTGCTATGGGGTGATGCAATTTAATTTGCCGCAATTCAATTTGGGTTTCCACACGGTTCTATTAAGGTCGTATAAGAAAATTAAATGTGTCAAGTTTCTAATCATGTGT